GATTCCATAGAAGGGCAAGAAAGAAGAAAAAGGAGAAGAGGGGGGAGAAGTTAGATGGAAAGAGTATTAGAAGAACAAGAAGTAAAAGAAAAGAATGAGGAAAAGGAGTAAATTGTAAGGGAGGGGTGGATAGAGGGGGAAGGGAATAGATAAACGTGTGTGGAAATTTGTGTTTTTGTGATGTTTGTTAAAAATTGCAGTTTGTATTATAAAACTAATAAACTATCTAAAAAAAAAAAAAGGGGGGGGGATGCTAGCATGGCAGTACTACACGCGGTAGTAAGTGGCAAGTATGCGCTGTTACTGATAGGCAGCGCGCGTGATGGGCTGGTCCAGAGACTTTTCATCAAGATGGATGGCAGACAACAATGTTACTGTGTGCATGGAAAAGCGTGTGGTGCTGAAGTTTCTTGTGAATGAAGGCATAAAACCAAAGGATATCTACAGAAGACTTCAAGCACAGTACGGTGATGGGAAGCTAAACCACAGTAAGACATATGTTTCAAAGATGGCGTACGTGTGTCAGTGATGATCCCAGCCATGGTGGTTCCCAACCCACAGCAGTCATTCCTGTGACACATTCAGTGCATGGAATGCCTGATCCTGGAATCGGCATATACGTAACCTGCCGTGAAATTGCACAAGAGACAAATATTTCTGTGGGACCGTTGAACACAATCATTGACAAAGGGAAGCAGGCCATCCTAGGATGATCCAGGCGTACTGACAAATCTTTCTATGCCGAAGCTTTTTAGGAATTAAACGATGAGAGAAGTATATAAATGTAGCAGGGTAGTATGTTGAAAATTAAATGCAGTTTCCAAACCTTGAAATTTTATTCTATAAACTCAAAAGACCCGGTTTGACTTGGACGCCCCATATGTCTATCATGGTATATTTAACCCACAAGCCACACCATGTATCATTCCTTTATAAATATTATAAATACAGTATGTATGTTTTTATCCACATTACAAGTTCATTAATTGCCATTTCAAATGCAATTCAAATGCTCTATTACCTATGCATACACAGCTCAGCAGCTATTAAAAGCAGATGTTTTTTGTACAATGTCTATCTGATTGAATATCAATTCATGTGATTTTCAATTCAGGCCTAATTTTGAATACAAGGTGACTTCAGGCAATATGGTCTGGAAAAATGTTTTCAAATAGCCAGTCTCCAAAAAAAGAAACCCTAAGGAATGTAAATTTAATTGACATGCTTTTAATGATGCACTGGGTTTGTAAGGAAAGTGTTTTCAAATAACCAGTCTCCTGGGGAGGAAAGAAAAGAAAAGAAACCTAGGGAATATCATTTTAATTGAGTGGCTTTTAATGCTGCACCCATCGGGTTTTTAAAGAATTACTCGGTGTTTTCTAAATTGGAAGGTACAATTACTGTACAGTCAGACAGCAGCAAGGAATAATTGCTTCTGGTCAGAGAAAAGTGATTTCACTGGAGTACACATTTCCCTCTAAAACATGCAGTATAAAAAAAATGGCACCAATCCAATGCTTTATTTTTCTTTAAAGTGGCCTCATTCCACATTCTCTGTGACCTGGTAGGACATACGCTTTAGATATTTTGTATTTTTTAAAATGATTTTCTCTTTTGGAGAGTTTGCATGGTTTAAAATAGTTTTGTTTATCCATCATTTAACCTTAAAACAGTATTATAACTTTTTTAAATAATTTTTTAGACTTTTTTTTTTTTTTTCCTTTTTTTTTCACCTGCTGTTTTGACCAGTAATACACCTCCTGTATTAGAGTGCCCCCAGTCTGGATGAAGGAGCACAGGAGGTACAGCGGGCAGCAACACTGTCAGTCTGGGGGGAGGGAAGTGTTATAAATTGATGGCAAACTCCAGTGCACACTGCATAATCATGCACAGCCACTTTTTTTTTTTTTTTTTTTTTTTTTTTTTTTGAGGGGGGGGGGGGGGGTAAAGGTTTTACATTAATACATAAATGCTGATCATTGTAAGCACCCCTCCTCAGTGGTAAGTGGTTTCTCATCCCTCTAACTGCTACATCTGCAAAAGAGCCTGTTCTTTTGAAGAACAGACTTTCTCACCAGATCGCCAGGGGAAAATAAAGGAAAGAAAGCATACGGGCCAGTTCAATATGGTACCAGATGCGGTCCAGTACGTGTTGTTTTTTGTTTGTTTTGCATCAAAAACACATGGACAGTAGGTTATATGGGTTCCAATGGCCTAGTTCACACCAATGCTGTCAGTTCCAGTGCAGGAAAAAAAAAAAAAGTAGAGCATGCTTTTTTCTTTTTGTCACTGAACTGTACTGGAATGTGATAAAATGCATCAAAACATACCGGAACTCGCATGTCCCTATTTAAGATGAAGAAAAAAGAGATTTAAAAAACACACTGGAATGCATCAAATCCTATCAAAAAAGTGTATGCAGAAACGGATCCGTAACACATCTGGACTGTTTCTGTGGTGTGAACTGGTCCTAAAAAAAAGAAAACTAATACCTCCATCACATTTAAGAGTAAATGCTTGCTTTTGGTTTTAATACCACCTTTATAAATTTGGTATTGTGATCCGAAAGTAGTTAGTGGTTCCAGAGATTATACTGGGCTAATGCCTGGTATTATTTTTTAAATCGGCCAGCGATTGTTTTTAGCCACAGGATCACTTTTACAAGCGGCTAGAGGGGTTCTCCCCACCTGCTGCTCTCTGTCACCAGGCCGTCCCGTCCCACCAGAATGTCAGTGATCATTTCTACGGTATTAGAAGCTGGAATCAATGAGTATTTCTTCACTTTCGGTTTCCCCAGCATGTAAACAAGTCAATTTGACTTCTAAAAAGCATCTTATCACACCTATTATGGTGTTATCAGATGCTTTTAAGGGCAAAGGAGAGATCTGTGGTCTATCCCTAAAGAGAACCTGTCACTGCTTATTGTTATCAAAAAGGGATGTTTTTAAATTCTCTGTAACAACCATAAAAGTGATTAAATTTTTTTTTTATTTTTACATAGTCTCCAATTTTTTTTGAAGTGCCACTGTACTAGCGTGCAAAGGTAAACACCCGCGTCGGTTATTAAACGCCGATTGCACCACACATGTGAAGTATCATGAACATCAAAGCGAGAGCAATAATTCTATCACCAGACCAAAATGTAAATCTAAAAAGGTAACTTGTAAAGGCTTTTAAAGCCTCCCCTATGGAAATTTTTAGGTAACCTTGTTTTATGCAGTTTTAAAGCCCGACATGTTTGGTATCTATTTGGTGTAACATTATCTTTTATATTTTACTAAACTAACTGGTATTATATTGTGTGTTTTTGTTGCATTAAAATCTATTAACGTGTATTTAAAGAAAAAAAAAGGGTTTTGGAAGACCGCTGCACAAATACTGTGTGACATAAAAAATTGAAACAACCGCCATTTTTTTTTTCTCTAGGTCTAAATATTTGTGTATTTATGTCTGGGAGTTTTTACATGAAACCAAAAAGTGTCAGAATAGGCCTGGTCTTTAAAGTGGTTGTAAAGGTTCAAGGTTTTTTACCACCATGCATTCTAACCCCAATCCTTACCTGAGCCCCCTCTGATCCAGCAATTTTCACAATAGCCTCAGCTGTATGGGGATTTTCCCTCATTGGCTGAGACAGCAGCGGGAGCCCATTGGCTGTCAATCACAGCCAGTGAGCCAATGAGAGGAGATTAGGGGTAGGACCTAGCCACGGCTCTGTCTTATGGATACATAGAGCAGCAGCTCAGGAGTGAGCACGTAGCCGTGCCCCCAGGGCAAGCAGCTTTCTCTGGCCACCCACCATCCATTCCACTATCCAATGAGTGTTTCCGCATTAGCTGTCTTGGGTGCTCTCATTGACAGGTGAATAGTGTCATTAGCAGTTGGGCAAGGCTTGGCCCAGAGATGAATGAAATTGGACCATTTGGAACAATCCTTAGATGAAATCAGACAGGTGCTCATTGGAGGCTTTTTAAATGTAGAGGTTTGCATAAATAGCTCAATCTCTGTGTTTGCTGATGATACAAAGCTAAGCAGTGCAATAACTTCACAGCAGGATATAAAAACCTTACAGGAAGACCTCAATAAAGGAATGGGCAACTACATGACAAATTAGGTTTAATGTTGAAAAATGTAAAGTAATGCACCTGGGGGCCAAAAATATATGAATTGCAAATTACTAACTAGGGGGAGAACCTTTGGGGGAATCCAGGATGGAAAAAAAGATCTGGGGGTCCTAGTAGCTGACGGGCTCAGCAATGGCATGCAATGCCAAGCTGCAGCAAGCAAAGCTAGCAGAATGTTAGCATGCATAAAAAGAGGATTTACTCCAGAGATAAAATTATAATTCTGTCATTTTAAAGACTCTAGTACGGCCGCATCTTGAGAGTGCCATCCAGTTCTAGTCATCAGGAAGGATGTGCTGGAGTTGGAGAGAGTCCAGAGAAGGCCAACAACGCTAATAAGCAGACTGAGGACCTCCTGTTACGAGTAACGAGTACAAACCTTAAACTTATTCTCCCTGGAAAAAATACACTTGAGAGGAGATATGCTAGCGATATACAAATACCTCAATGGGATACCTCAGGGATATTAAGAAGATACGCGGCCACTCATTGAAATTGGAGAAGATGGTTTAAGCTTAAACTGCGTAGAGGGTTTTTTTTTACTGTCAAAGTGGTAAGGATGTGTACATCCCTTTCACAAGCGGTGGTGTCATCAATGAGTTCTATAGTTAAAAAAAAAACAAAAAAAAAAAAACAACAACTTTTAAATGGGCATCTTGGCGAACATGAAATACAAGGATATGGATCTATTGATAAAAACACACGTACACATCCACACGGGCTGAACTGGGTGGACCGGTGTCTTTATTCAATGTTACCAACTATGTAAGTATGTAGAACAAATCTGCTTTAATTTTCTAATGTAAAAATAGTTGCTTTAAAAAAAAAAAAAAAAAAAAAATTTAAGCTGTATTTGTGAAAATGTGGTTACTGTTGTAGACTAAGAAGAGATGTTTAGAAGATTTGCTTAGTATACCACTACCAAAGCTGTTACCAGACTACACTATGCTTCCTTCTCCACCTCATTCAGATGAAAGTAAAGGTATGTTTAAATGACAGTGAAATGTTTTTAACCCAATTGTTAGTATAAAATGTTTTACAACGTTCTGGAACTGTAGGGGAAAATTTTCGGTTTCAGTGGGCAAGAAATTACAGTTAAGCAATATGCTCTATGCTGATAGGTTAGGACAGTCTGCATCCCTGGTGTGAGGAAATCTTTGTGTGGACATGTGTTTTGGTGATGCATGTCAAAGTTAAGATTTCCTTTTAACTTTGGAGAATTGTCTTTCCACTTCCTGTTCTGTCTTTGGAGCTTGAAGTGGGTGGAAAACATCCCAGTGGGTGCACAGGCAGCAATACAAAAAAAAAAAAAAAATCTTCTTACTCTTTCTCACTCCACTCCAAAGTTTATCTGACCTACCAATTTTTAGGGCTGTGATTCAATGGGAGGAAACATTGATCGTACTGTTACTGTACAGTTTGAGGATACACAGATGGCTTGTTTTAAAAATCATTGTACAGAAGAGTGTTTGCAATATCTGGACAAGACAGTGACAATAGGAACTTCAGCTATATTAGTACATTATGGAAACCTGCCATTTCTAGTTCTTTATTTAACAAAGGCAGTATATATTTCTTGCAAAATCCCAGAGTGAACTGTCTTCATTTTGTTCCTTAACTGCTTTCCCGCCGCCCTATAGTAGACGTACTGCTACAGGGTGGCAGGGCTGTGCATAATCACGTGTATAATGATGTGATTTGGATTTCCAGCACGTGCTGCCCTACCTGTGCCGCCATTGGCAGTTACAGATGTCAATCACCAGGTCCCGGCCGGAGATCACCGAGTAAAACTGACAGGGGAGAAACCTGTGTATAAACACAGGTCTCTCTCCTGTCAGCAAGGACATGCTGTTGTGTATTTCTCTGCTGCGCACACACAGCACATTATGTAAAACAACCTTTTATTAGCACCGATCACAGTATTAGTGTCATTGGGATGTCAGTGGCAGAATGCCCACCACAGTCCCGCTAGAAATCGCTGGTTACCGCCATTACTAGTATATAAAAAAAAACCAAAAACAAAATTCCAGCGTGTATATATACTGCCATTTGTAGACGCTGTAACTTTCACGTAAACCAATTAATTTACACATATTGGGATTTTTTTTTTAGCAAAGATATGTAACCGAATACATTTTGGCCTCAATTTTATGACCATTTTGATTTAAAAAAAGAAATATTATTGGACATGTTTTATATAAAAAGTCAAAAATATTATTTATTTTTAAAAATTTGTCGGTCCTTTTTTTGTTTATAACTCAAAAAATAAAAATGCAAAGATGATTAAATACCACCAAAAGAAAGTTCTGTTTGTGGGGAAAAAAGAATGTAAATTTAATTTATGTACAGAGCGTTGCATGACCGCGCAATTGTCAGTTAAAGTAACGCAGTGCCGTATTACTAAAAATGGCCTGGTCTGGAAGGGGGGTAAATCCTCTGGAAGTGGTTGACGAACTTATCAAAACAAGATACTAAAATATTTTCTTAGGCTAGGTTTACACTGCCAAGATATAATTTTGATCTGACATTCAGTGCAATTATGTAGTACTTGGATGCAACTTTTGATAAGCTTTGTATATTCTATGGGGCCAAAATCACACCGGAATCACTCCAAAGTACTACAGGAAACTTTTCCAAAAACGCAGTGCTGAGTTTTCAATGGTGTCTGTTCACATCAATGTGACTTGTCATGTGATTTTGTGCAACTTGAGTCACATCTGAAGTTGCACTAGTCTGAATCCAGCCAAGAGATATTCCTAGTCCATTGTGCTGTCGTGTGTGTGTGTGTGTGTGTGTGTGTGTGTGTGTGTGTGTTTTTTTTGGTCCACACAAGAATCTGATCACATGGGTATTCACGCCCATGCGATCCAGTTCTGCACATCGCACCGTGATTTTGGGGTGCTGTTAACATACACAATTCTGCACTGCATCAGTGTGAATCCAGGCTGTGTCTTTAAAACTATTTTCTATTTTTGGCAGATACCGTAGAGTTAAATTAACTAACTTATGGTTTCTTAACCTTTTGGGATCAACACCCATCAGTCTCTGAACCTGAGTTTTCAGGCCTGCCATGGATATTGCTACCCTCACTATTTTAATGTGTTTGGTATGATACAAAATGTAGAAGGAAAAAATAACAACTTAAAAAGGGTGGGGAAAAAAACAAACTGTGGTAGGTAAATCCTACCATGGAGTCCCCAAGAAAACTGAAAACCTAGATGAAAATAATTTTGGGTAGACAAATTCTTTACATACAATGTATGTAGATTTCAATATATAAGGGTTAGTATGTATTCTGAGTATGAGAATAATATGAATGGTACTGCAGAAAGTAAAAACTGCATTTCTTTTTGTCTTTGCCATTTTTGAGATCCATTTTTTGTGTTCTATTATCAATACAGGGAATATACCAGAACCTGTGGCTGAAATAAGCCCCGAAACAAGTGGTTTTACTGGAAAACGTTTCAACTCTAAAATGTTGGTGTATTCTGGTTCCAAGACAATTTATCTGCCTAAGATGCTTACACTATATCAGCAATGTTTACGAGTGCTTCAGAACAATATTGACTGTAAGTGTGATTATGAATATTGGTGCTAAAAGCAATGGCCTTGTCACTTTGCATGAGATGTACAAAAATGTTTGCCCTTCTGTAAACAAGTAATTCCCCCACTTCCACGTAACAGAAATGAAGAAAGTTAGACATATTTGTAGTCTCCCTTGGGAGTCAACCATGGCTTCCATCATAGATACAATGGAGAGACTGCAGACACCCAGGGGCATGATGAATGAAAATCTATATAATGTGTGTGTATTTATGCATGTATTATTTATATATATATATATTATTTGGACACAGGCACAATTTTCATACTTTTTAGCTCTGTATGCCACCAGAATAGTTTTTAAAATGAAACAATCCAAATGAATTTGAAGTGCAGACTTTCAGCTTCAATTCAAGGGGTTGAACATAAATATCAAGTACAAATTTTAGGAACGGCAACCATTTTTTTTTTTTTTTTTTTTTTTTTTTTTTTTTTTTTTTATACACAGTCCCTCCATTTTCGGGGGCTCTAATGTAATTGGACAAATGAATATAATCAAAAATAAAATGTTCATTTTTAATATTTTGTTGAGAATCCTTTACTGGCAATGATTGCCTGAAGTCTGGAACCCATGGACATTACCAGAGACTGGGTTTCCTCCTTTCTGATGCTTTGCCAGGCTCTAACTGCAGCTGTCTTCAATTGTTCTTTGTGCATCTTCCTGACTTTTTAGTTTTGCCTTCAGCAAGTGAAATGCATGCTCAATTGGGTTGAGATCAGATGACTGACTTGGTCATTGCAGAATATTCCACTTTTTTCTTCAAAAGCTCCTGGGTTGCTTTTGCAGTATGTTTTTGGATCTTTGTCTATCTGTACTGTGAAGAGCTGTCCAATCAACTTTGCTGCATTTGGCTGAATCTAGGCTGACCGTATATCTCTAAACACTGCAGAATTCATCCAGCTGCTTCTGTCACATCATCAATAAACACCAATGACCCAGTGCCACTGGAAGCCATGCATGCCCATGCCATCACACTGCCTCTGCCATGTTTTACAGATATCTTTGTGTGCTTTGGATCAAGAGCTGTTCCAAGCCTTCTCCACACTTTTTTCTTCCTGTCATTCTGGTACAGATTAATCTTAGTTTCATCCGTCCAGATTAATCTTAGTTTATCCGTCCAAAGAATGCTTTTCCAGAACTGGTCTGGCTTCTTTAGATGTTTTTGGCACCGTCTAATTTGGCTTTTCTATTCTTCAGGCTTATGAATGGTTTGCACCTTATGATGAACCCTCTGTATTTGCTCTCGTGAAGTCTTCTCTTGATTGTAGACTTTGACAATGATACGCCCACCTCCTGGAGATTGTCCTTCACTTGTCTGGATGTTGCGATTGGGATTTTCTTTACCATAGAGAGGATCCTACGATCATCCACCACTGTTGTCTTCCGTGGATGTCCATGCCTTTTTATGTTGCTGAGCTCACCAGTGCATTCTTCTTTCCTCAGAGTGTACCAAACTGATTTGGCCACTCCTAATGTTGCTGCTATCTCTCTGATGGATTTGTTTTGTTTTACCATGGCCTGTTTCACTTTCATGGACAGCTCCTTTGAACACATGATGTAGATTCACAGCAATATATTCCAAATGCAAATACCACACTTAGAATAAACTCCAGACCTTTTACCTGCTTAATTGCTGAAGAAATAATTGACTCAATTGTCCAATTATATTACTCTTAAGAGCTGTAATTCATATATGTGTGTGTGTGTGTGTGTGTGTGTGTGTGTGTATATATGTATGTATGTATATGCAAATGCCTGAAAAACTAAGATTGTGCCTACCTATGTTGTAATGTTAGAATGATTGATTAGTTTTTGGAATTCATTACATATATTCAGAATCATTTTTGTATATTCATTTTTTTTTTTTTCAAATTGATATGAAATTCAAAAATTTGAATTTTGGAAGACTGCTATATTTGTTCTATTTTTTTTCCATTCAATATATTTTTTTTCTATTTTCTTCTACTTCTATTCCTTTATTTTCTGTTCTTATTTTATATTCTTTTATTTGCTATGCTATTCATTTATTTTTCATTTATTTTATGTATTCATTTATTTTCCATTCTGTTCTATTCTATAAAGAAGCTGAAATAGGAATCGTCAACTTATCTCACTTTTATACCTTATTGTATTTATTGAAATATGTTTCCATTTCAAATTCATTTTAAAATTTGGCTAATTCGTATCATCACAATTTATTTCCGATTCTATGAAATTTGTTACTACTGTGGTTAGGATACATCTGAATAATGAAAATTTTTGTTTGAATTTTGATTCATAACGAAATTAATCAAATATATATAATTTTATTTTAGAAATGCTTTAAAGGTTAGTTTTACACTAAGCAGCACTCCTAAATTGTGCAACAGTAAAAATGGGGTGGTGGGAGTTGTGCCAACTTTAGACAGGGTTACTTCTATGCAATCTCCTGCAGTTAATGTCTCTACTGGTTATTGATGGCTTCTTTGGCTATTAAAGTGAGCCAAAATCTTATTTGAAACTACAGACAGGCTCTTTATTGCAGAAGTGACTTGCAATGTCTCTTCTACAATAAAACAAACTTGCCTACCTGTTCGCAGTTGTCTGTAGAATGTACACTGAGCGGTGTATGCGCAGCCCAGTTTACATTCTGGCACAGTGCCCGTATGCTGTGATTGCAGTACTCCTGCAGGCCCTAGAAGCCAGGAGTAAGTATTTAAACTTCCTCTAACTGCCACTTTTGTTGGACCACTTGGCATGTTACAGGAAGAGAAAAACATATCTGTGGGCAGGGTCAACTATGAAACTGTTACATAGGTAACTGTAAAATAAAAACTACAGTGTTAAAGTTTAATTCCAGGTCTCTTTTTAACTAATTCTTTTTAGCCAGGCTGGCCCAAATTAACTATTTTCCACACAGGTGTGCCCACTGGGCATGCTGCATAAACTGTATGTAGCCTCAGCTACATACAGTATACAGCCTTGTGTTCTGGCAGTGAGATGAATTTCCCGCCTCACACCTGGAACAAAATAGTCGGATGAGTAGTGGGCAGATGACGTCATGATATCTCCACCCTAGCCAATAAGGGAAAGCTTTATACTCATTCAGAGAATACAAAGTTGTCTATGAATAGCTGATGGAGGGTAAGGCTATGCCACACAAGTATACACAAGGCTGTATACTGAACGTACACTTTTATACAGCACATGCAGCGGGCGCACCTATGTAATAAATGGTTTGTTTGGGCTAGCTTGGCCCAAACTAACTAGATGAAAGGACAATAGATCTGAAATTCAACTTTAATGCCTTGAAACAGACTATATCACACGTCACAGCCCACTTTTTTACCTTTTTTTTTTTTTTTTTCCCTGTTTTGTAGCAATCCAAGAAGTTGGAGGTGTACCTTATGAAATCCTAAAGCCAGTTCTTGAGCGTTGTACTCCAGAGCAGCTTAATCGCATTGAAGAATGTAATCCAGTATGTAGGTTTTTTTAAGTTGTGTTCCTAATCTTCTTTATAAAGAACAAGTGCAATGCTTTGTCACTGTATATAAGACCCCATTGGAGGATTTGCTGTCTATTCCTGATCCGGCTAAGATTTTTTTTTTCTCATATTCAGTCCTGGTGACAATGGTCCTCATGACATAGAGCGGGTGAATCTCAGAGATGGTAATTAAAACCTGACAAGAGGTTCTAACCCATTCACCACTCTATCCAAATATTGAAAGAATGGTTTTACTATACACTTTTTTTGTCTAAAGCCCCAATCCAGGCAGCATAAAGAAAATTTCCTTGCAGTGGTGCCACCCTGCACAACAAGGCTTAAATGCTTTTTATCTAGGGGTAGAGGAATAGGTTGTAATACTTATTTTTTGCTTCAGTAGGCTTCCACTACGCTGTGTGACCAGTCCCTTGAAGCCTCTTCTTTTCAGCGTTCTGGCTAGCCTTAGCACTTTTATCTTATCATGGTCAATGCAGGACTAGCAGTCCTGCATTGTACAAGAGGATGGTGAGGGCCTGTCCACAACCTAGAGCTTTGGACAGAAAAAGAGTTCTGGTGACCAGGGGAGTGAGGAATAAAGTAAGTGTTACGTTTAGGAGTAAAGGAATAAACTGTAACAAACCTTTTAACTCCTGCAGCTCTGGGGGCCCACTGCAATCTTTGACTTTCACTTTAAGGGCGCTTTCATACTGCCATGCTGTGGTTTAGCCACAATGTGCGTGCAGCACAGTGCATCCAAGGTTTTTACACTGGTTACCCATGATTTCTTAGACTTCTATTACATCAGACATTTTTGTTGTGTTTTCTGAAAGCGCACCAAAAGATGCAGCATGTTGGACTTGGTGTGATTTCAGAAAATGACCCAAAAACTCTAGATATAATAGAAGTCTATGGGAAAGCATGGGTAACCCTCATGTACACCTGTTCACTGTGCTGCATCCACGCTGTGGCAAAATTTCAGACAGGCAGTGTGAAAAACACTCTCAAGCATTGTGTTAAAGCCATGTAGAGGGTCAGGTATCCCATGTAGTATGGAGTAGTTATTACATGTCATGGACACAGGTCTGGCTCAGATGCAATGGGTGTGTTGGCACTTGCCTTATACTGCAGCAAACTTCGTCTACTGTGACATTGTATCAGGCTAGGTTCACACTAACCTGCACCAGGGGCGGACTGACAACTCATGGGGCCCCCAGGCAATAGGGGATCATGGGGCCCCTGTGTCCTTGCCCAAACTCAAAAAAGCCTATGAAAAAGGTACCAGGGGCATCTCATGGGGCCCCTTACTGACCCCGGGCCCTCGGGCAGTGCCTGAGTTTCCAAATGGTCAGTCCGCTCCTGGCCTGCGCTGTGTGTTCTGGGTGCGGGTGTGGTAATTGTATCGGTTTTTCCGCACGCACATTGCGCTGCCCTTGCGAGATGCACGAGGCTGTCATTCATTCTGAATAGCATCCTCCCACATTTCAGCTTGCAGTGCGATCGTGGGTGCAGTAACTGCATGGTCAAAAAGACCATGTACTTTTCCTGTGGCAACTTTTTGTGCGAGACGCACAGCAGCCCATTCAAACAAATGGGCTGCCGTGCCTGAGCAAACGTGGGCCACACGGCCCATACTAGTGTAAACCAGGCATTAATCTCTACCAGTGTAGTAATGTGGGAACAATCTTCTGTAATTTTAGCAATAGAATGTAATAGTTTTAAGTAATATACCAGTTTTAACATAGCCGTGTCTTTTAAGAAGCACAAGACAGATCAAAAAAACCGCAGAGGTCTCTGCTGTAGACGTTTTTGTGTTTTTTTTTTTTTTCCTATAACACGCTCCATAGAACATGTAAAGTAAGGCTATTCTTTTTGTACTAAAGGACTTTACAGAAGACTCTGACCACCTGTGGAAGAAACACTGTGAAAGGGACTTTAAAGGGCACAAGCTTTTAGAATACGAGTCTTCGCGAGAGATGTATTTAAGGCTCTTCAGCGCAAGAGAGGAAAAGTTAAAAATGATAACTCAAAATATCAGTTCAATATACTCTGGAAAGCCTAAAGGTTTGTATCTGTATGGTTAAACCAGGAAATTCACCTACATGTCCCTAAGCCCCAGGAAAGATGGTGTATTTGTATTATAAATTACAAGGCGTTTCCACATGCAAATCTGAATCTTTTCCAGTTTTTAAATATCTACACCTGGTATCCAATACAAAAATAATTTTTCTAATCAGAATTCAGATTTCTATTTAAAATGTCTCCCTATTGATTGAACATTGTACAGTAATCACTATTCCCATTTTATCCTAATTTACATGCATAATTAGTTGTCTGTAACAAGGGAAAAGCTGAATTCTAATTACTTTTGGATTTTAGTTGAGAAACAGGTGTGTGTATGTTTTTCATACACAGGCAAATATAGAAGTAAGTCTTCTTATTGCTATTCTATTTTGAAAGTTTTCAAGGTATGGGAGTTGACATTTTTAGGTTAGTGTTGAAGGTTCAGCAAAGGACCAAAAAATGTGCATAGGTCATTGCTAACAAGACAGGAAGAGAATGGAAATCTCCCAGATAGGAACATGGATGGCAGTAGGAGCCTAGCACAGTTTCTAACCTTTCTCTATTCTGTCCATAAAGAAAATATATATATTGGTTGCATTCCCTCTTTTAACTACACATTGGAATTCCTATCATAGACTCTTAGAGTTCGTCTGTGCCTCCCATAACAAATGTTGGTGTCTGTAAAAAATGTACTTGTCGGAAACAGATACAGTAATTTGTTGCATGGAGGAATGATGGTACTAATGCATAAGTGTCTGTACTGGACACTATATCCTCATTGCAGGCTCAGTAACAACAGGAATCTGCACATAGGATTGGTTGCTAACATGCTGGTGGCTGTGCAGCAGACAACATCATAACAACCAATGACTCCTCTCTGACCCAATGCGACTGCCAGGCATGAGATTCCTGCAATTTAACAAGTATGGCCATTGTCATATTTGGATGATATCGGCCAGCATCTCCCCCACTTTTACATTCAGCTGTCAGCTAGGGAATCTCCTGGTCAGCAGCTGAAGGGACCAAAAGATGAGTCGCTGGTTGATAGTACACCATCATCCACTGGCTTTGTAGCAACCATTGTGTGGGTGGGGACAATTTGGTACCCAATATGGAAGAATGGCATTCAGAGACCAAGTAAAGTTTCACAATTATTTGGTCAGATGAAGGGAACATGTGGAGATCAGCGTCAGGGTTCTTGGCTTAATAGTCCCAAGCACGGTGTCTCAGTAGTACAGTCAACACAGGTGCAGTAGTTCTCAGCAATGTTAGCAGCACTTTGAAATAAGTCCAGCATTAAATACTATAAGGCTTGCATTACCAGAGCAGCATCTGAGTTTTAGTGGTGTACCTGGAAGAACTAGTACAAAGTCTTTATCGCAGTAATGAAGTCCAAGGAAAAGTTGAGCCAGTAGCAGTGCCCTTAGTCAGGAACCTCTCCCTAGGGCTAAATAAGTTTCCTATCCTGTGTATTTCCTGTCCCTACCTCCCAACTGCAGCAAATATTTAGCATTGCCCCTACTAAAGATGGCCACTGTCAAAAAGTGACCTCTACAGAGGCTGCAGAGGAACAGTGTTCCTCTCCTCCTTCATTCCCTTTGTACAACAGTAAGCAACACAGCACCACCTACCAAGGAGAGGGTAACCTGTGCCTGCCTACACCCCCCCCCCCCCTCCTTTTTCTCCTCCATCTCCATGAAAGATGCTGCCCTTGGCATTGGAAGCCCACAAAATACAACTTTACATAAGGCACAAACCACAATGGCAACAGGTTAGCTCATACAACATGATCAGAATACTTATCAGGTAACTCCCATGAGCTACACCAAATGGGGCAACAGGCCTCACCACCATCTTTGGGTTCAGTGTCAGAATTTTCAATTGCAGTAAGTTAATCAGAGGCGTCAGGTGCTTGGGGATGAACATGGATAGGCATAACACCCTTACTGAGGCAGGCACCAGAGAGGGATGCATAGGCTCAACAGGACACTCAGCATCCTCACATGGGTCCACAGCAATATCTACAAAGGTCTTAGTAGGAGTTTCTCTATCAGCACAGACCGGGTATAGGGGCCTGGACTCAAAAGGAGGCAGATACCATTCCATAGGAACTTCCTGTTTTTGATGCAATGTCCATGGTGCTAGGTACTGGAGGCATTTGTCGGCCCAAAAAGGATACAGTTGAATTTGTATAGGCCTAGTGGTATCAAAGGAGTATTTTTCTGTCTTGTTCTCTCACTGATATTTGCCAGTAGCAACTAGCCAAGTCCAAGGTAGAGCAATAACCGGCTTGTCCCAAGGCCATAAGGGATTCCTGCACCCGAGGCAACAGGTAGGCAACTCAATGGGTATAGGGATTGAGCTTGCAATAATACACACTGAAATGCAGACTGCAAGCCTTCTTCCACACCAGAACAAGAAGGGCATCCCAGTGACTATGGCTCTCCCACACTATCCTGCTTTGCAGCAAGTTTCAAATTAAGTCCTTGAAATTCTGGCACAAAGCAGATGGTATATAGTAATATTGTTCCTTAATGGGTGTAGCTACTACTTGATGATACTACTCCTTTTAGCTACCAAACTACTTGATGTTCACACCCCCTGGTTATGACCACAAGATCTTTCCATTTTGGTTAGCAGTTGGGACATGTCCAAGTCCTTGAGGATATTGGAGGTAGAGTCCAAACACACGGGGCCTACACTCACCCTGCCTATAAACTGGTCCCATAATAACATGTCCGGAGTGCCAATATCAGCACATCCCTGAATATCCTTTATTTCCAGCCACTTCCGTAGTTTCTGAAGGGCTTCTGTAAAAGTGGGTAAGATTCTAGCCCTCTTGCTCTCTTCATAATGAAGAATCGGCATCTCTCAGCATGTTACTCCTTTTGGCAGTACCAGGATAGCTTGGCGAGCATCATTCTCTAAGAAATTGATAACTAATTCTGAAATCTGCTTGGTGGGCACCTGATAGAAGTGTACTGCACTTTCCAGTCTCTATTCCCATTCCATCAGCGAAATGTTGGAACAGTTGAAGTGTACTGCACTTTCCAGTCTCTATTCCCATTCCATCAGCGAAATGTTGGAACAATTGAATTTTGGAACTGGCGCTAGGGTCACTTCTAAAGGTGTCATAATGTTAACTTAGGCCCTATTCATGCCGTATCTTGCTGACTATGCCAATTTGTGGGTGGGGCCAGTTAGTTGGTACTTAGTATGGAAGAGTGGCACACAGAGACCAAGTAGCACAATTTATTATTTGATTAAATGAAGGTAACACAACAGGTGGAGAAAAGCAGCAAGGTCATTAGCTTAAAATTTCCAAATACTATTGAAACAGCATCTTGGTGACACTGAACAAACATACAGTAGTTCTCAACACTTCTACTGCTCCCCTAGTGACACCTACAGAGGCTGAAAGGGAACATTGTTCATCTCAAACTTCATTCCCTCTGTACAGCAGATATCAACATAGCACCACCTACAGAGAGGAGAGTACACTGCACCTGCCTACATGTGAAGGAAGCTGTCACATTCATGGCTGCTTCCCATCAGACATGGCCCACTATGAGCACTAGCATCTCTCTGTAAACCAACTCAGAGATGGTCTTAATTACCTCCAGTTTCCGAATATAAGAATGGTTGTAATTGTTTTGAATTTGTCGTCGCCACAGTGACAGTTTCTAAATAAGGTGAAAATAAGCACTACATGTACTGCCAGAAAAGTGTTGCAAATGCTTTATTAATCCCCCATCTAGGAAACCAAAAAGTTATTTATATTTTAAGTCAAAGCTGAAACATTTTATAAGAAAGATATAAACTTTTAGATTTCATTAGATAACTGCCATCAGTACATTGATAAATGAGGCAGCATTAACAATAAACACTCTATTATCCTAATAACCACCTATCTTGTGTATTATATAACAGTAACATTAAAAGCAAGAGGAAAGATAAAAAAAAGTCGCAACAAAATGTAATGATTGTAAGCATAAATTAGATTACATTTTTTTTCTTCTTTTAAGGTCGACAAGTAAAACTCGCTTACATTCACGGAGAAGCTAAACCTCCCAGACATATTCGTCGCAAGCAGGAGATTAATGGAACGGCTGGACCTATTGTACAGCCTCATCCCATAGAAAAACACAAGTATGTTGTGGGTTTTTTTTTTTTTTTTTCATGAACGCATTTTTGTTTTTTTGTTTTACAGGCATAAAGTACAAAAGAGCATATGCATGTGTCTCATGAGAAGAGTGTATGTGTATATAAAACCTATGCATACACAAAGTTGCTTCAAATGGCCTCTTAGTCTTTTTCCTAGTGACCTCATACCAACACACATTTGGTCTTTTTCCACATTTGGTATTCTTCCTCCGGCACACACACAGATTAGTCTTTTCCTGAATCCCTGCTCTAGCACACATAAGTTTCTTCTCCTGAGACTCCTCAGTTTGATAGAGGGAGCTGGAAAGTCAGAGATCCAAAAATTTCTATGCTGGCCGCAGTGAATTGAAATTCAGGAAGGAAGTCATACTTTGGACTTCTACTGACAATTGGACTATAGGTGGAGGCAGCAACAAGGGAGGAGAAAATAGCTATATTGCATAGTTAGGTGTTTTGCCATGGAAAGCCAGAGCGTGTGTGTGTGTGTGTGTGTGTGTGTGTGTGTGTGTGTGTGTGTGTGTATCTATTATTTTTATATCTAGCTATCTCACACAGAGTAAGGCCCAATTATATTTGGGCTGAGAGTGCACACTCAGGTTTAATTTCAGGGTATGTACATCCAAATTGAAGGAAGGGTTTTAGGAATTACAACTCTTAAGAGTAGCCATCCCCCCTTTTTCAAGGGACCAAAAGTAATTGGACAACTGAATCAAAAGCTGTTTCATGGCCAGTTGTGGGCTACTCCTTCATTATTTCTTCATCAATTAAGCAGGTAAAAGGTCTGGAGTTAAGTGTGATATTTGCACTCTATTGCTGTGAACCTACATCATGCGTACAATGGAGCTGTCCATGGAAGTGAAACAGGCCATTGTAGGACATCAAAAACTAAACAAATCTATCAGAGAGATAGCAGCAACATTAGGAGTGGCCAAATCAATAGTTTGGTACATTCTGAGGAAAGAAGAACACCCTGGTGAGCTCAGCAACATAAAAAGGCATGGACGTTCCACTGGAGACAACTGTGGTGAATGATAGCAGGATCAGCTCAATGGTAAAGAAAAACCCATTCACAACATCCAGACAAGTGAAAGACACTCTCCAGGAGGTGGGTGTATCATTGTCAAATTCTACAATCAAGAGAAGACTTCATGAGTGCAAATACTGAGGGTTCACCACAAAGTGCAAACCATTCATAAGCCTGAAGAATAAAAAAGCCAGATTAGACTTTACTAAAAAAACATCTAAAAAAAAGCCAGACCAGTTCTGAAAAAGCATTCTTTGGACAGATGAAACTAAGATTAATCTGTACTAGAATGATGGGAAGAAAAAAGTGTGGAGAAGGCTTGGAACAGCTCATGATCCAAAGCACACAACGCCATCTGTAAAACATGGTGGAGGCAGTGTGATGGCAGGGGCAGCAATGGCTTCCAGTGCCACTGGGTCATTGGTGTTTTATTGATGATGTGACAGAAGCAACTGGATGAATTCTGCAGTGTTTAGAGATACTGTCAACCCAGATTCAGCCAAATGCAGCAAAGTTGATTGGACGGTGCTTCACAGTACAGATGGACAATGATCCAAAACACACTGCAAAAGCAACCCAGGAGCTTTTGAAGGAAAAGAAGTGGAATATTCTGCAATGGCTTAGTCAATCACCTGATCTCAACCCAATTGAGCATGCATTTCACTTGCTGAAGGCCAACCTAAAGGCAGAAAGGCCCACAAACAAAGAGCAACTGAAGACTGCTGCAGTTAGAGCCTAGCAAAGCATCAGAAAGGAGGAAACCCAGTCTTTGGTAATGTCCATGGGTTCCAGACTTCAGGCAATCATTGCCAGTAAAGGATTCTCGACAAAATATTAAAAATGAACATTTTATTTATGATTTTATTCATTTGTACAATCACATTTGAGCCCCTGAAAATGGAGGGACTGTGTATAAAAATGGTTGCAGTTCTAAAATTTGTACTTGATATTTATGTGTCAACCTCTTGAATTAAAACTGAAAGTCTGCACTTCATATTAATTTACACTGTTTCGTTTTAATTTATTCTAGTGGCATACAGAGCCAAAAGTATGGAAATTTTGCCTGCATCCAAATCTATATGGACCGAAGTGTGTGTGTGTGTGTGTGTGTGTGTGTGAAATGTGTGTGTGTGTGTGTGTAAATAAATGTGTGTGTGTGTGTGTGTAAAAAATAAAAAAAATATATATATATATATATATATATATATATATATATGTGTGTATATAATTTTAATGTATTTCATATAAACTGTGTGTGTATATATGTATGTAGTATTGATTTTATTATTTTATCAGATAAACCGCTGGGTTGAAACATAAAGCAATGATAGGTGCATGTACCATATGTATTGTGTCAGTGTATTTTTTTTTTTTCCCTTATTTTTTCTTAGGTTAGGCACTGTTAGCGCAGTCTGTGTTGCTCTTGTAGTGTGGGTCACAAGCTGTTTTGTATACCTGTTAGTAATAAACTATTCTGGTTTTGTAACCATAGTCTGAAACATGATCTTAGAGAATACAGGAGGGTGCCTGTTGCTGTCACTCAGGCTGTTATGTTGGGTGACGCACTTTGGATTTTGCCAATCAGATATTCCTTTATCTTGAGTGATATTCTGAGGAAAATGACTTAATTTATTGACTAATAAATATTTTTTAATCTTGATATTTGTACTATACCTTTTTGGATTTTTGGGCATAGTGAATGGAAAGTAAACCATATTGAGGCTGAACATATTGCCTTGCTCTGATCATGTGATTTGAAGTCATTGCTGATTAGACACCTGGTGACAGGGTGAGAGCAGAGACTCAGTCAGTAACATAGCATGTCCACACAGTACTGAATGCTTCTGGAAGGAGGGGAAGTTTTGATTTAGCCGGAGTATGTAAACTGAGACAGTCTAAATATAATTCCGTGGAATTATGGCTAGTTATACATACACAGAACATGAAGAATAGTGTAATTATAAATATTATCCCTACAATATTATATTACCATATGCTAATACTGCTAGAAATTGTTACCCTTTAGTTTATAAAATACAATTACTAGGAGGTTTTACAAATCACTTAACTACTGTAGTTTCACTCAAAGGAAATCTAGAAATTAAAGTAGTACTGAAATCCTATTCAAAGCACGTATATAAACCCAGTAGTCAATGTTCTGATGTTTCACTTTCCTGGATACACTAGATTGCCCTCTCTTGTACCATGGCACTAGAAGAGTGTTTAAAAGCACATGCACAAATCTTGCTTCATAGGGGTGGTGGAGACACCTACGGTATGTAAAACTACATTGTTTCCTGCTAGGTTGACCCAGTTAGAGTGCCAGCAAAGTACTCGAAGCATATCAAAAAATTCTGTGCCTCAGAAGGGATTTGGCCAGCTGGTGTTTGTTTGCCCAACATAGGGACCTTTGAACACCTGATGGAGATGAGCTGCCTCACATATTCTAGTTGGATCTTGGAGGACAATTCTATAATTGCCTCAGTTGGGATGGCTTGGATCCCTGTACATTGGGTACTGGGACCATGGAACCCTAATGTGGAAAGTTTATCCCAGCAGAGCCTTGTCATCTGATCTAAAAGAATGTGCCAAAGTTCTATCTTATGACCCCTGTACATCACTACAGATGTAGGGGCCCGAAGACTGAGCCATGATGTGTTGGGGAACACCAGCTTGTAATACATCCAGAAGTGACAAATGCCAAATGTGCTAGCCGCGACTGCAGAACTGGAAAGGAGAGGAGAGATGTTAATGAAATACTCCACTGGTACTGGCTCTCATTTAAGAAGAGTGCCATCCTGGATCATTCCCCCTCCCAGTTGGCAAAGTTAATGTCTGAGACTGCCTATAGACACACGATAGTTGAATTTAGTGATTATTTCAAGTCTTAAAGCATTTTTAGGTTTGTAATGAGACTGCAGAAAAAGATTTATTGCTATGCTCTATTCTGTTGGAATGTGATGGTATTTAGTGACTAAAAACTAAACTTGCCTTAAAGCGGAGTTCCAGTGAAAATAAAAAAAAAAAAAAAAAAAAAAAGCTAGCTGCTACAAAAACTGTAGCTGCTGACTTTTTTAAAAAAAAAAAACCGCTTACCTGTCTCTCGATCCCCGGTGTCCATACCCCCCTACATCCAGTTTCACTGACCACCCTGTGTTCCTGGCACCAGCATCTTCAGTGTGGGCACCCAGCAGTGACAGTTTGCGGCTTCACAGCAGGGTGCTCACTGTGCATGCACGAGTAGCGCTGTACTTTTTGATTGGTCCTGTAGTCTACTGGGACCTGTCAAGCATCCCAGAAGACTACGGGGGGGGGGGGGGGTTAGGGGGAGGTCAACTTCCGCTTCTGAACGCCTAGGCAGTCACAGCGGAAGTGGGAGCGGGTACCTGTCAATTTCGGGAACCCGCTCCTCAAAGGTGCCAATCCTTAACGGGAAGTGGGGGACCAGTTCTTAAAGTGGAGCTTCCCCTTTTGGGTGGAACTCCGCTTTAACTCCCCTTTTATTTTTGGAACAATCCAGTGCCCCTTTGGATCAAACAGACTGTACTAGAGAACACTTCCACCACTTATAAGTGTAACCCCCTTGTCTTAAACAGCTACCAGCAAATTTAGCTGTGCTGTGTTGTAGTATTTTGGTAATTTGGGTTTACCCATAAATGTGGCATGGCTGTGGTTCCTCCCTCTTGCCAGTAGGTGTCACCGGTAGATTTGGTATTTTTATGATAAACTATAGTAAAGCTGAATTATGAATATGCATACTTCTCTGAACCAATCAGTAGGAGTTTCTCTGACCACTGATGCATGCTGGGAGAGGGTATATACGAGGGGCTTTCAAGTCAAACCAGGAAGTTTAATTTTACAGGTATAAAAAGGGATGCTAGCATGGCGGTACTACATGCAGTAGTAAGTGCCAAGTGTGTCCTATTTCTGATGGGTGGCACAGATGTCGTGTGCCAGTCCA